TGCACCAGACGTCAAGGCAAGCCGAAAGCTCCCCGATCCATGGTTTCCATAACGGAAATTCTGGTGAACACCCTAGCCCTGCCTTCATTAGTTCTCGCGCAAAAATGGACAGAACATGGAAGTATGCCAAAGTGGAGTGGTTTTTGGAACGCTGCGTGATGTTGCCATGTGACACTAGTGGATGGGAGGGCAGATTAAAGTGGCGTGTCCTGCTAGCTAGAGCTAGAACCTCTGCGCAAGCAAACGGTTAGGTGAAAGTCGTTGGTTAAGGTGGAAAGACGCCGAGTGAAACTGTAGAGGAAATTTCATAAAGAGGTGGATAAGGAGAATTCGTATCCTCTATAGAATTAGAGTGCAGTAAAGCTACCCACTTTTCCGTTTTTTGTCGAATTAAGATTTACCCTGGTATCAATTCTGATCACCGCTTGAGCACGGGGGCGGACGAGGGCAGCCGCCGTTTCCAACCAGAAGCAAAATTGGGACATTAGTCAAGCAACTCAAAGTTCTGTTCTGTTCTGCTTACAGCATTGTGAGCATGTGGTTCACTTGTTTCATTTGACCCAGTTTTCTTGGTCTCAGAAGTGGGCATGGACCGGTTTACATTGTGTACAGTGCATTCAAAACAGATCGTGCAAACCGTTGTGAGGGCACCTCGTCGATTCCCTCTAGGGCGTCGTTGTACAATGCCACCAAAGCAGTCAAACTCAGCCACTGGCACCAGCGGCCAAAGTAACTGTGCATTCGTCCGATCAGCAAGCCTCGTTGTCCCTCCATCTCCAACCAATCTGCAGGAGCGCTTGTTCGACAGACAACAGCCCCAACGACAGTCATCCAACCACACCATACCACACTGAACCCACCCGGCCCGACACTTTTACGTCCGTTACCTCGCGTTCTGACGTAGGTTCTTCGTGGACCAGGACACACAAAAACCTCTCGCATCGCATGACAACTCGTGGAACAGTTCCTTGCACTAGTCAACAGTGAATGGAGAACTAACCTTGTGATTTGCGGATGTCGGCGAATCCTGACGGTCGAAATCTTTGATCCGAGGGCTGACATGCACCGACATCCAGCGACATTCTTGTTTGGAAGGACCGTCCGCTTGACGTCAAGCATTGGGCCAACATCACAGGCATGCAAAACAGTCTGGTAACCCTATTCGATTGTATGCAAAACCGTCGATACCTCGGTTTCGGAGTTATTGACATATTGCCCTAGAATCGCGGTTCTATTTATTTCAAAATCGCGGCGCGGCAATAATTTGGGGCACAACTTTCAAGTAATAGCTCAAACTCAGTGTTGTAGACGATGAAGCCTGACGGCGAGTTTTTAAAGACAGAAAGCCAACGAGGCAAGGGTAGAGCATCTGGCGCTAGTGTCGCCGCAGAAGCCGCGAAACCCGTTTCATCCGCTGCTCCGCGCCAGTCTGTATCGATAATCCCACCCACGGCGCAAGCTGCGTCGTCCCCGACCATCCCCGCACTTCAGCAAGCTAGTCTCCGCCACTCCCCGCCCCGGCGTCCGGGGGGAGATTCCATCCGCGCGCCCGTCGACCGTTGCGCGTCCACCGACTGCTGTTCACCCATTGACCGTTGCCCGACCATCGACCGTTGCGCGCCCATCTACCGTTGCGCGTCCGTCGACCGATGCGCGCCCATCGCGACGATTGACCAGGGGATGCTGCGGCCGGCGGAGGCGTGGCAGCGTCACCACAACCTGTCGCACACGGGATTCACGGCGGAAACAGCGCGAGACGAGCCGGAGGCTCGAGTCGCTGTGAAAACTGTGCGCGGGGGCGGCACGGCGGTGGTAGTGCGGTTCGGTTCGGAGTCGGGCACGATCAGCTCGCGAGACATAAGCGATTGGACCGTGGAGCACGATAATCCTGCGCCCTTGCCCTGCATCCCTGGTGCACGAACGTATACTAACCTGGCGGGTTCGCCGGGGGAAGCCGCCGCCTCCGCCGACAATGCCGCCGGCTCGGCGCTTCCGCGGGCGGCAAAGTCCGCTGCGGCGCCGGCGGCGGAAGCGGCTGTCCGCGCTGGCGGGTATTCTGAGCTCCACGAATGCGATTGCGGGCAGGAAGCGTGTCGGGGGAACGCCGGCGGAAAAAACGTCCGGGGGATGATGAGATATCCGCCTGTGCCTGCGCGGAGTGAGAGCGGAAGCAACTTCGGCGACGGCGACCCTCCCACTTCCTCCGCAGAAATGGCGGCGCTGGCGCGCAAGGGAGGCAGCGGAAAGCAGAAACGAGTGGTTGGAAAAGCTGTTAGGGTTGGCCGAGTGGATAAGGAAGTTTCCCGGAAATGGAGGAAGCAGGGGGCTGACGTGGCGTCTGATGGTGGTGATTCTGGCGGGAAGAAAGTTGATCGGGTGCAGTTTGCTGGGGCTCTGGTTTACCTTGCACAGCATAGGGCGGGTAGCTTGGTAACCAGTCATGGTTTACCATTACCCCCCCTGACAGCGGATCAAGAGAGGGACGCTGTCTGTGGTACTGGTAGTCGGTGTAATGAAGAGAGTGTGAGTGATAGTGTAGAGGAAGATAATGATGCTTGTGATGATATGTCTGCATACTCCGCATGCAGTGGGGTGCTGCAGAGGGAGCAGTATAAGGAGCTGCTTACGACTGATGTCGCTTCAAATGCTCTTGCTGGTTATGGTGGCGGTGCGAGTTGTAGGGAATCGCCCGAAGAGCTTAGTGAAGACGCTATTAGAGCGTTGCGCCCAGATGCTCTGCTGGACTACATGTCCTCCAGATGCCTAGCCTTTGTTTAGTTCAGTTATTTGGTACTCGGACCATGATGTTAATATTGCAAGGTGTAAAACAAATCCTGGCTTGTTTCAATGATTGTTTTGATCATCTTTATACATATCGATTCGTGAATGATTGTTTTGATCATTGTTATATATATTGATCCCTTGTGCGTTGCCAATAGCGAGTAATACTCGCAAAGTGCAACTTAGTGAAAGGAACAATGCTCGTTGTTTGTAGGTACAGTGCGGTGCAACTGGATTCAAATATAAGATAGAATGTCCACTACAAGAACAGCCTCCGCTAAGTGTCACCCCAGAGTCAACTTTGACGCGGTTGAGTGAGATTTGTTGCGTGGCAAAGGTTTATGCTCTGATTCCGAAACGGTAGAGCGAGTAGTTTCTCGCAGATGAAAGCTTCTCTCCCATCACCCCCAATCACGGAAGGAAGATGATCACAAATTCAGGGGTATCAAATACATCATTCATACCTATTTTTCCTCGTCACCCATCTGGTTTTGTTCCTATTGATGCGATACCCATCTGTGATGCCTTCTAGCATTCTCTCCGCGATGAACGCTCAAGCCATCCATCCGTCGTCGCTTCCTCTCGTGCCGCGACCGCGACGCCCGTTCGCGCGACAGAGGGGTATCAGTCGTAGTCAAATTCGTGGCGGGAGAATGAGCACTGCTCATTCTGCCAGAATTTTGATTGCATGGCGGGAAAGCTTCTTCAAGAAACACTCTGACCCTCATCGCGCCCATTGCAGCAACGCATTAGCTCGCCAGGCGTTTCACTGGCACACCCACATTGCTCAACTCCTGGAGCACAGGGAGGTAGTAGGGGTCCATCACGATTTTCGAGCCGTCTAAAAAATCAGGGAGGTAGTAGTAGGGGTTCCATAACGCGCGACGAGCCATCGCGGAATTCCGCGACACGCACGTCTGGAAAAACCCTCTCAAGGCCTCCTCCTTCCGCGTTTTGAGACGTCTGGAAACTCGGCTGTGCCGCCTTGAGGTCCAACTTCTGAGGCGTCATTAGAGCTCGAATAGCTGCTATGTGTTGCTTCTGATAAGCTCGCACGCGGTGGATTAGCAGTGGCCCGTGACACGTTTGCTATAAGCTTGGATTAGCAGAGAAACTGAATTTTCCGACTTATCATCTCAGCTGATCCACGGTTCGTGAAGAGCAGGGGCAGTGAGATTTTAACAGGCTGGTTTTTAGACAGCTCCATAATAAGAGAAAATAAGAGACAAGGTTTTGCCTTTATTACTTCAAGAGAAAGCTTACCAGCTGGAGTCGTGAAATTTCATGTGAATTACATCACCCGCAATACTGTCTCGTCCGCACGTGAGATAACAACACCAGCAGCACCACCCGCAGCAGCGTTATCTGTAGCTGCACCAGAACTACAAGCAGCAGCACCATTAGGGGCAGAAGCAGCAGCAGTGGCAGCAATGACGGAGGGAGGGTTGGGGCCGTCACCCCGCTGTCGCCTTGACACGATTTCAGAGGAACCAGGCGAGAATGACGAGGATTCGCTATTGGCTCTACTCAACTCTCCGCCAGATTTTCAGCCTTGTGATCAGCGAAATGATGAGCAAAGTGATGGGCAAAATGATTTTCAGCCAAGTGACGTGTTGAAAAGCTGTGAGCGAACTGGAAAAGGGGGCGTGCTATTAGGGAGTACCCGGTTACCACCTGACCTTGAGCAGGACGCGCCTGATTGGTGGGCTTGCACACCTAAAACACCTGAGAAACGACAAGCAGAGCCAACCAGACGGAATGCTCGCTGTCTGAAGTTCCTGTGGGAGGCAGATAGCATTGCAGGCAGAGGCCCAGGCATGGGTGATTTACCCTCGGAATTGTGCAAGGATGGTAGCAGTGGAAGTACAGGTACCAGTGTTTTACCCACGAAATTGGGTGTGGAGGGAAGCAATGGAGTTTCAGGCATGGGTGGTTTACCCTCAGATTTGTTTGTGGAAGGTAGCATGGGAGTTAGTGAGGGAGGTACTGCGAAAGGAGGAGAGGGATTGGGGAAGGGGGAGTTGGGAGGGGGAGAGGTGGAGGTTGGAGAATCGAGGGAGCGAGGGAGTGAGAGTGGGAAGAAGAGGGAGAGGAGGGAAGGGAGCGCATGGGGAAAAGGTGAGAGGTATATGAGTGGGGGGAAGGAGGGAGGGGATGGAATGGAGGAAGGAAGAAATGGAGGTAGAGAAGGGGGCGCATGGGGGAAAGGTGGGAGGTTTATGAGTGGGATTTGCCTTCCTGTCTGCATCTCTGGGGGATTTGGTGGTGGGGGGGAGTTGGTGGAGGAAGAAGGGGATGGGATTGTTGTGGGGGATGGTCTAAATGAGGGTGATGGGATGAAGAAAAGAGAGGAGGAGGGTGAGGAGGGGAGTGAAGTGGAAAATGGTGAGGAGGGTGAGGAGGGTGAGGAGGGTGAGGAGGGGAGTGAAGGGGAGAATGGTGAGGAGGGTGAGGGGGGGAGTGAGGGGAAGAATGTGGAGGAGAGTGAGGAGGAGGAGAGTGAAGGGGAGAGTGAGGAGGAGGAGGAGGAGGGGGAGGAGGAGGAGGAGGAGGAGGAGGAGGAGGAGGAGGAGGAGGAGGAGGAGGAGGAGGAGGAGTCAGTTGAGTGTGAGTCGATCAAAATGGACGTGAGGTATGAGAAAGGGAGAGGTAGGGAGGGGACTGTGGTGGTGGGGAAAGGAGGAGAGATTGAAGAGGGGTTGCTACCACAAGGGGGTGGAGAGAAGCAGCTGGGCAATGGGGTGACTTTTGAGTCGACTCAAAAGTCGCCGGGGAAAGGAGGAGATGTGGAAGAGGGGTTGGTACTACAAGGGGGTGGAGAGATGCAGCTGGGCAATGGGTCGTGGCAGCAGGGGGATGGGGGAAAGAAGCAGGTCTCTGGGTCAGATGTTGATGTGCTGCTGGAGTTAGCAGATGAGGTTGAGCACGGTGAAAGAGACGTTGGAGAGGGGTTGCTACAGGCGGATGAAGGGAAGCAGGGCAATGGGTCAGCATGGCATGCAGAGGGGTTGCAGCAATGCAGTGATGGTCTTAAGATGGCTGACGGGTCGTGTGAGACTGGTGAGATGAAAGGGGATGACGCGTTGTGCAAGGCTGATGCTGCTGCTGGGTGTAAGGTGGGTGATGGGCCGTGTGAGGCTGATGGGTTAGAGGGGTGCGGAATTGATGCTGGGTGTAAGGTGGGTAACGAATGGAGTGAGACTGGCGGCTTGCAGACAGGTGACGGGTCTTGTGCGGCGGAGGAAGGGTGTAAGACGGGAGAAGAGCGGAGGGAGAAGGGCCGGGGGTGGATGAGGTGGAAGATTCTGGCTGCCGTGGGTGCTGCTGCTGTGCTTATAGGCGGGGCTGCTGTGATTATGGCGAAGGGAAGGGGCTGGAAGGGGGGAGGGAGGGAAAGGTGTAGGGATAGGAGAGAGTGGGGGCAGAAGCAGGAGGAGGCACGGAGAGAGGCGGATGGGGTGGGTCTAGAAAGGGATGAAAGGCACGAAGGGGGAGAGAGGCGGGGAGAAACGGAAGGGTATGGTGTTGAGATTTGCGGTAACAAAATGGGAGAGGAGGCGGAGGAGGGAGAGGAGGGGTGGATGGTACAAGAGGAGGGTGAGGAGGGAGATGATGTTGAGGAGGGACGGGTGGTGCAAGAGGAGGGGAGGAAGGAGGTGGGAGTGTATGAAGAGGAGGAAGAGGAGGAAGGAAATGATGGGTTAGTGGGGGAGCAGCAGCAGAGAGAGGAGGAGGGGTGGGTGGGAGAGCAGCAGCTGTGGCAGAGGGAGCAACAAAAAATAGAGAGAGAGCAAGAGAGGAGGAAAGGCATGTGGGGTGGTTTGTGCTTCAACAGTGTTAGGTTAGGCCTTGGTAACGAGGAGGAAGAGGAGGAAGAGGAGGACGAGGAGGAAGAGGAGGAAGAGGAGGAAGAGGAGGAAGAGGAGGAAGAGCCTATGTCCATGTGAGTGTTGCTTGCTTGTGTGCATTCATGCTGCCACTGCTCTCTTGAGCGTTCACGCGGGATGGGCAGGTGCAGCAGCAGTAGCCGATCAGTGCCTTACCACCCCTTCAATTGCTCTCCATTATTTGTTCTCCTCTGCTTATTTCCCTTTGAGTGTCCTTCTTTACGTGTCCCCCTCCACTTGATTTTCGCCTTCCACTCGTCATGCCGTGTGTGTGTGTCTGTGCGTGTGTGCTGGGTCTTTTTATCATGCCGTTTGTGTGCTGAGTCTTTTTATTGATTCACCAACCGAAGCAGGTTCATTACTCGTTTCGAGGCAGAGGACGAGGAAGAGGCAGCAGCAGCAGCAGCAGCAGCAGCAGCAGCAGCAGTGGAGGAGCGATTCCTGTCCAGCCTGACCCTGCCTCCCTGTGACTATGGCGAATATGGCTATTATGGGGGATATGGCTATAATGGGGGATATGGCAATATTGGCGAGTATGGGTATCATGGGGGTCATCGAAGTATTGCTGGTGACTATAGCGAGGGAGGTGAAGAGAGGTGGAGAGGGGGAGATGGGATGGTAGAGGGAGGGGAGGGGGAGGGGGAGGGGGAGGGGGGAGGGGGAGGGGGAGGGGAGTGGAGGTGAGGAGTGGATGTATGAGAGGGAGTGGGATGTGTTTGTGCAGACACTCAGAGAGGGGGACAGAGGAGGGATTGGGGAGACACTGAGTGTGAGGGAGGGCGGAGGGATAGAGGAGGAAGAGGGGAAAGGAGGGGAATGGGCAGGGAGTGGGGGAAGAGGAGAAAGAGGAGGGGGTTTACGGTGTGGAGTGGTGGTGAGGGATGCGGAGGCTTATGCGTGTGATGATGGTACAGCGGTGTGTGCAAGGGAGTGGGTGGGGGAAGAGTGGGAAGGGAGGGAGTGGAATGGGGCTGATTGCGGTGCAAAGGAGTGGGATGGTGCTGGGAGGAGTGGGAGGGAGTTGTGTGGGGAGGATACTGGTCTGTCACTAGGGAGCAGCACTGATAATGACAAGCCTTGCTGTCCCCTTGACTACTGTAGCCCACTACATTATGCTGATGATGGTGCTGCTGCTGGTGCTGCTGGTGCTGATGGGGATGATGGTGATAGTGATGATGATGGCCAGGAAACCTACAAAGGTGACCAGAGGCAGGGATATGGTGATGATGAAGCGGGTCCCACAACGGCACCTTACAGGCGCACTGGCAGCATGGCAGCATCGACGGTGTTTGACAGCATTCTCCATCGAGGGGCCATGGCAGCATCGCAGTGAGTTCCCCGTGTCACGCCCTCCATGTGCGTTAGTCCCTATTCCTGCCACCTCCCCCCTTTCGTCTCGCTCGCACCCAACCATTTCATTGAACCCTTGTTTCCCTTCCTTCTTTCATTCCCTTCTTTCCTTCCCTTTCCTCCCCTTTCTTTTCCAGATTCCCGGAACACAAGTCAAGGGGTACTCATTCTCCCACTGTCCCAGCTCCTGCCTCCAGCCACTCTCCCCTTGTGCTCTACCCCAAGCCGTTCCTTAGTGATGAGGCCAATGACCATGACGCCAGTATTGAAGCAGCTTGTATCGAGGACAAACTGGCTGCCCTGAATCAAAGGCAGGACGAGCCGTGGAGCCTGGGTCGGGTTTTTTCACGGGCAGCTGACTGGTGGCTGCGGGCAGGAGGAGAGGAATCACGGGCAGATGAAGCTGATGGGGAGATGGGGAGGGTGAGGTATGGAGGGAGGTTGATAGGGAAGGAGAATGCTTCTAGAGGGTATTGTGAGAGAGGAGTGATCATAAAGGGGGTGGGTCCGGGGGTTGAGATGTTTCAGAACGTGATAATAGAGGGAGGTGGTTTGGAGAGAGAGGGTGGGAGTGGGATGGAAGGTGGGCCGACGTGGATTGGGAAGAAGGGGAAGAACAGGGAGAGCAGGAGGAGCAATGGGAGATTGCGAATGGGAATTGTGGAGGGGAGTGAGGCAGGGAGTAAGGAGGAGGTATGGGTGGGTGCAGAGGAAGGGAGAAGGGAGGAGTGTGTGGGTGAAGGCAGCAACGACAACAGCAGCTGCTGTAGCAGCAGCAACACTGGCAGCAGCAGTAGCAGCAGTGGGAGCAAGGGGGGCAGTGGTATCAGAGGTAGCAGGGGCAGCAAGTGCAGAGACAGCAGGAGCAGCAGGTTGCATCTGCCGTCTTTCTTGCTTCGAGTCGTACGATCTATTGGAAAGTAGAGTACTTTTGGGCCGTCTCAAGAGAAAGCAGGAGCAGCAAGGGGCCTCTGTTGTCTTGGTTATTTCGAGACGTCTCAAAACAGCTCTATTATCACGTGACAAGTCCTACGTAGATTGGAAAGTAAATGACTGCTGGGCCACCACATGACACAGGAGGAGCAGCAAGGGGCATTTCCTGCCTTGGCAAAGCTGAATGGCACAGGGCGGTGACTTTGACTGGTGCAGAATCTGTACCATACATGCACTTATCGTTACAGGCTACTGAGAACGTCTGCCTTACAAACGAATTTGCGCGCTCTGTATTGAATTCAGTTTTTTTCTTTACTGTGGTACTGAATCAATATAGAAAATGTAGGTGTGCATATACCTTACTTTAGAATCGCCTCAGCCCTGCTCTTGCTCAAACATGACCACAACCTAGCCAACAAGACAAGAACCCAGCATTAACTAGATGTAGAACTGCAGACCAATACATAATCTTCTTCAGTGCTGCTGCTGCTCCTCTTGCCTACTGCAGCAGCATGCACGGCATTTGATCCGAAACACGGGTTAGAACTTAAAACATAGACTAGACTGCTTGCCACAGCACAGCAGCAAGCTACCGTACAAGCTACAAGCAAAAGAGCAACACTTGGAGCACCATCGGCCCCACGGCTGCTTCCTTTCACATTGGACATACATGCCCCCCACCGTCACTTCACTTGGAGACACACATGCCCGCCCCTCCTCTCACTTGGGGACATACATGCCCGCCCCTCTCCCTTTGACCTCCAGCCTGGATGAAAATGGGGAGAGAGAGGGGAGTAAAGGTGCATGAGAGGGGCACAAGAAGGAGGCGCGATAGAGAGGGCGAGAGAGCAAGAGAGAGGGAGCGAGAGCGAGAGAGCAGTAGAGAGAGGGAGGAATGAAAGAGCCACACAGGCAATCCTCCCACAGCAATGCCATGGAACTCACGAGGGAGCCAGCTTCCCCAGCCCAGGAGGGAGGCCTTCCCCCGTGCAGCCTCCACCAGGTTCCCATCAATGTCCAGCAGGTATGCCACCCCCGGGTTCATCTCCCAGCCCTCTCAGACTCTCTCACCCCTGCACCAAACCCTAGAGAACTCACGAGGGGGCGAGTTTCCCAAGCCCAGGCGGAAGGTCCTCTCCTGTAGCAGCGTCCACCAAATTGCCATCGATGTCCAGCAGGTATGCCACTCCCGGTTCATCCCCCAGCCCGCGCTGCATGAGGATATCCAGGTCCCGCCGGTGCAGCTCTCTGCCGTTCACCACCACGCGCGTGCGGCCCCCTGATGCTTGTCGTTGCAGTGGTCCCAGGGCGAGCTGCTCTATGCCCGCCTGGGGGATCGAACATGGGGTTGGGGGGAGGGGGGAAGAGGGAGGTAGAGAAAGAGTTGGTGCAGCTCCCTGCCGTTCACCACCACTCGCGTGCGAGGCAGAGAGGGAGAGGGGGAGAGAGGATGAGGGGGGAAGAGCCGGGGATCGTCAAGGCTGTGGGTTGGTCCGCCAGCCCTCGCTGCATGAGGACGTGCAGGTCCCGCGTTGAGGGTGGATGGGGCTTCAGACAGCATGGTGCAAGGGGCATGAGGATGGACTCCCGCGTTGAGGGTGGATGGGGCTTCAGACAGCATGGTGCAAGGGGCATGAGGATGGACTCCCGCGTTGAGGGTGGATGGGGCTTCAGACAGCATGGTGCAAGGGGCATGAGGATGGACTCCCGCGTTGAGGGTGGATGGGGCTTCAGACAGCATGGTGCAAGGGGCATGAGGATGGACTCCCGCGTTGAGGGTGGATGGGGCTTCAGACAGCATGGTGCAAGGGGCATGAGGATGGACTCCCGCGTTGAGGGTGGATGGGGCTTCAGACAGCATGGTGCAAGGGGCATGAGGATGGACTCCCGCGTTGAGGGTGGATGGGGCTTCAGACAGCATGGTGCAAGGGGCATGAGGATGGACTCCCGCGTTGAGGGTGGATGGGGCTTCAGACAGCATGGTGCAAGGGGCATGAGGATGGACTCCCGCGTTGAGGGTGGATGGGGCTTCAGACAGCATGGTGCAAGGGGCATGAGGATGGACTCCCGCGTTGAGGGTGGATGGGGCTTCAGACAGCATGGTGCAAGGGGCATGAGGATGGACTCCCGCGTTGAGGGTGGATGGGGCTTCAGACAGCATGGTGCAAGGGGCATGAGGATGGACTCCCGCGTTGAGGGTGGATGGGGCTTCAGACAGCATGGTGCAAGGGGCATGAGGATGGACTCCCGCGTTGAGGGTGGATGGGGCTTCAGACAGCATGGTGCAAGGGGCATGAGGATGGACTCCCGCGTTGAGGGTGGATGGGGCTTCAGACAGCATGGTGCAAGGGGCATGAGGATGGACTCCCGCGTTGAGGGTGGATGGGGCTTCAGACAGCATGGTGCAAGGGGCATGAGGATGGACTCCCGCATTGAGGGTGGATGGGGCTTCAGACAGCATGGTGCAAGGGGCATGAGGATGGACTCCCGCGTTGAGGGTGGATGGGGCTTCAGACAGCATGGTGCAAGGGGCATGAGGATGGACTCCCGCGTTGAGGGTGGATGGGGCATGAGTGCATGGGGCATGGCCATGGGGGCATTCAGCGTGGGGAATGGGGTGTGGGGCGTGGGGCATTGGGGCACGAATTATGGGCCATGAGAGCATTGGAGCATGGAGCATGGGGCATGGCCGTGTGACATGGGTCATCGGGTATGGGCCATGGGCCATGGGCCATTAGGCATGGGGCATGGTCCATAGGCCATCGGGGATGGGGCATGGCGCATGGGGCATGGGGCATGGGGCATGGGGCATGGGGCATGGGGCATAGGGCATAGGAAGGACTCACAGGGATAATGCCGAGGCACGGCCCACCCACCACTCCCCAGAACCCAGCGTCCACGTCGTACCTGCAGAGATGAGAGAGGAACGGAAGAGGGAGTAGAGGAGAGAGAGTTGAGGAGAGAGGGTGTGGGAGAGAGGGTGAGGGATAGGGAGATGAGAGAGTGGAGTGTATACATAAGAGCCTTCTAAGTGACTTAGAGCCAATACCACATGCAAATACAAAGTGGACCCTGTACGAATATACGACGCTGAAGCTGATTCAGCATGGTATGTGCACGAATATACGAAGCGCCAAGCTAACCGAGCAGTCAAGGCGGAGGAATGTAAAGATAAGTGTGACTCTACCAATTAGAATTGAGCCTAGATAAAAAAAGGGGGGCGGAGGAGAGGGTGCAGTGTAGAGATGAGTGTGCCTGAAAGCGAATCAAAAACCTTTACAATGTTAAGATGAAACCCTAATATAGAGTGACACACTCTACACGACCACAATATGAGTGTTAGAATAGTTGATTCGGTCAACATACCAATAGGTGCCCGGATTGATGGGGCCAGCTAGCCTCTCAGCTTCTGCCACCTGGCGATCCGGGATTGGCACACTGTTCACCACCACTCTCCTCCGATACTCCTGCCCGCTCCCTACTCTCTCCTCCTCTTCCTCCTCTTCCTCTTCCTCCTCTTCCTCCTCTTCTTCCTCCTCTTCCTCTTCCTCCTCTTCTTCTTCTTCCTCCTCCTCCTCTTCCACACCTCTCCTCCCTCCCACCATTCCCCCTCGTCCTCGCCCCATTTGCGCTCCCTGCCCCATCATCCCCATCCCTCCCCTCCCTGGGGGCCCACCTCCCCCTCCGCCTCCGCCCCTCCCCGGCCCCATGTCCCCCCGCGCCATTCCCCCTCTCCCAGCTACTCTCGGGCTACCCACGCCTCTCCCCGCCATGCTCCCTGGCCCCATAGCCCCTCCGCCCATGCCTCCGCCGCCCATCCCCCCACGCCCTCCCCCCATGGGTCTGGGGCTGGGCGCACCATCCGCGGGATCCATCCCTTGCTGCTGCATCTGCCCGTACTGCTGCCCGTACTGCTGCTGCTGCCCGAACTGCTGCCCGCCCCGGCCGCGGCCTCTGGGGGAGGGGGAGGCGGGATTGAATCCGCCCGAGTGCTGCCTCCCCAAGGGGGAACGCCCATCCCCCCGCGCACTCCCTGGCCCATACTGATACTGCTGCTGCTGCTGCTGCTGCTGCTGCATCATCTGCTGCTGCTGCTGCTGCTGCTGTTGCTGATAATACTCCTCGTCCCCGCCTCGACTTCCGTTCCCCCTTCTACCAGCCCTTCCGCCCCCCATAGGCCCCCCTGGCCCGTTCTCCCCCCCGCCATCCTCCCATCCGCCTCCGCCACCCATTCCGCTCGACTCTACAGACGCTTTCCGCGAGTGCGGCTGGGGGAACGCCCCGCCACGCCCCGCCCCCCTTGCACTGCGCGGACCTGCGCCTGCTAGCTCCCCGCCCCCGCCCGCTCCGCCTCCCCCTGGGCCTGGCCCTGCGCCCCCGTATTGCGCCTGTTGGCGCGCGCTGCTGTTGCTAGCCGCGGAGCTGTTCGAACCTGACCTGCGGTGTCTGCCTGATGGCGGGGGCGGAAAGGGCATTCCCCCTCCCCCCTGCTCCCCATACTCGTTCCCCGCGTCACTCTCCCCTCCCCCGCCTCCTCCGCCCGCCCCTCCGCGCGCTGCCCCGCTCACGCTCCGCCTGCCCCCGGGCCCCCGCATCCCCGCCCCTGAGTCGTCCTCTGACATATTCCCCGCGCCCCTGCTGGCGCTGCTGCTTCCGCGCCCTGCGCCCATCGCCCCCGCCTGCTGCTGCGCATTGCCCTGGAAACTCCGCGTTCTGAAAGTCCCCGTTGACGCGGACCTTCCGCGCGCGGAGAGCGCCTGTTGCTCCTCCTCCTCCTCTTCCGCCACTTCCGCCTCCTCCCCCTGCGGCTGCTGCTGCCGCCGTTGCCGCTGCTGCTGCTGCTGTGGCGGCGGCTGCGGCGGCGGCTGATCTTCCGCCTCTTCGTCCTCTTCCGCCGTGGGCGGAAGGAAGACCGCGTAGCGCGACACCTTGAGGCACTTGCCGCACCGCAGCTTCTGCTGGCCCTTCTTCGGCGGGGGCAGGTTTATTGGCACGGCTAGGGTTTGGAAGCACCACTGACACTGCAACGGGTGAGTGATGGGGAACGGGGAGATTGGCCGAGGGGCGGGGGAAGGGAAGCGGGGGAGGGGGAGGAGGGAGAGGTTAAGGAACTGGATAAAGGCGTTTATAGCACCTTGAGGCACTTGCCGCATCGCAGCTTCTGCTGCCCTTCCTTGGGCGGGGGAAGGTTTATTGGCACGGCTAGGGTTTGAAAATACTACTGCCACTGCAGCGGATGTGTAATACAGAACGCAAAAATAGGGCGGGGGACGCGGAGGAGGGGCTGGGAGGAGGGGGTCGGGGAGGGAGTGGCGGAAAGGGAGGTTAATGAGTTGTTCAAAAGGGGCGGAAAGCGAGCGCGCGCGGGCGCGCGCGTGCACACACACACCCGCACGCACACACCCAACCATTCCCCCTCCCTTTTTCATTCCACAGACACTCAATCTAGCCTGAACCATCGCCGCATCATTGCACGTACCTGCACGACTTGCGGAGCTCCGGGCGGCGGAAGCATGGGCAGTCGCTGCCGCGGAACATCCTTCCCCGAGATCGTCCGATTGTCCGCCCCGCGCCCCACCGCCGCGATTGTCTTCGCGCGGAAATACTGCACCTGTTCCTCCCCCCCGCTCGCACTTCCGCTTCCGCCCGCGCCGAGTTTCGAGCGCGAGGGCGCGGGACTGCGCGGATCGCGCGCGGAAGCCGCGGACATGGCGGACATGGCGGAGACGGAGGAGGAGGAGGAGGATGTGCGCGAGACGGAGGGGCGCGCCCCGCCCGGCCGCCGCTCGTCGTCGAGCATGCGTTCGGAATGGGCCGAACTGACCGAGGCTTGGCCGAAGCTGCTGGTTCGGGAAAAGCGCTCGTCCTGTTGCAAAGGGAAAACAGCATGAGGAAAAAGGAAGGCGACAGCATGAGCAACCGCGATAAAAAACGGATGCTACAATGAAAACGAGAATAAGTTAACCGCTAAAGAAGGGCCGCCACGCTATCCCTGACCTCGTCCATGGGTCCTCGTCTCGACGCACTCCGCGACGAGCTGTACCCGCTCTCCTGCCCGCCCATGTCCATGCTCCCGTCCCCTGACTCCCGTCTCCGCCGACTAGCCGACCCTCTCCCGCCACCCCCCCTGGCATACCCGCCACGCGGCGACGGCGACGGCATGCCACGTGGCGTCATGTCATCTTCCGAGTACGCTACCGGGTTGCTGTACGAATGGGTTCTGTTAACAGTGGGACCGTCTTGCCATCGGTCCGTTTGATCTCCTTCGTCGTCTGAACGTTCGGACGTCTGTTTTTTTACGGACTTGACGGTCGAGCGAACGGCGCCGCCTCTGCCTCGCCCGCTCCCGCCAGACGCTACCCGAGACGCTCCCGGCGTAGTTGGGTTCATACCGTTAGGGTTTCGTCCTGGGCTGGCTGTGATTCCTAGATTGCGCGGCGGCCATTGGCCTTGTCCCGATGAACGGCCCGGGCCGTCCATGTTATGTTAAAGAAGTTGCGTCGTGTAAGTCGATCTAAATTAACCAACTGAGTAGTCCAAGAAAATTTGATAAGGTTTAGGCAAGAGAACGCAATCCCGGAGTAGACTTGGTGGAAAGTCGGGCAATAACGCTAACGGTAGACGATGCGACAGAAAAAGAGGCACGTTAGATATCTCTCACTATAAAACGCGGAGGTATCATGTCAATGCGAAACGGGGAATATGGCCAGGATGATTCCATTAGAAGAACGCACTCGATACTCCGGTCCAGGAAATCAAAACACACCTTCTATGAAGCATTGCATAATGGGAACAGGATAACCGTTGCATTTTTCTTTCGATACTAAGATGGAGACAACAACGTCCGCTCCGTGGTCGTAGCTGCTAGGTAGACTAAGCTCTCCCTCCATGTACATCTCAAAAGAAAAATGGCGGGAGAAATTAGGGTTCCATGATTCCAGAACAGACACTTACCACAAAATGAAGTGCATCACATCGGGTGGTGTGGTGCGGCAGGGAGGGGTGCTGCTGGTTGGACCTAGAAATTGGTGGGCGACGGGTGTGCGCCGCCGTGCGGCAGAGGTCAAGCTGGCGGTTGGGTGTTGACGCGCGTCGACGAATAGAAGCGAGGAGGAATCGAGGGAGGTGAAATTGAGGAAGAGAAGAGAAGTACACCCGAGCGCTAGCAGTGGGTTGGCTGGCTGGCTCGTGCTGCCTGTTGGCCTTGAGATTTGCGTGCCTGACATAGTCGGTTGGTTCGGTTACTTTGCCCTGATGACGTTATAACGAGCGCGCTGTATGGATGCAGTCACAATGGGGACTTGTTGCATAGAATTGCTGCTTCGTGGTTTGTTTTGGCACGAACAAGCAACATGAAGCATAATCTAAACTCTACAGAGAGAAATGATCACTTCAGATTACCATCTGTACAATTTTAGAGCCTCATCTAACCCCTTACTTTGCCAAATACAATGCATGCATCAGATAAACATCGGTATCAACATATATACTCCCATGCAACGAGCACTTGGGAAGCGCTCCAGCAAACCCATTGCATCTCATGCATCAATACCGTAGTAATATGAAATGCTCAATCAAAACGGCTGCTCTGGCTGCTAAGCCCACTGGTCCTCATAGACCCGGTGGTATTGACAGCCAGAGGGAGTGGCTGGCACATCCCTCTTTGCGGTGATTGAACCAGCATGAATCGGCCACGACTCCTCATGCACCGCATACTAACAGGAGAAATAGTTCTCACCGCTTCCGCTTCCTTGTTCCTACTGTGTCGCTGACAGTTCTCGTGGTAACAATGGTGGTGGTAACCAGGTGACACTGCGCGTGCCTCGCACAGTGTCACATGGCCCTTGCTCCGAGTGGGCTGGAGCGCTACAGCTGCCCGGACGCATGGCAGGGACCAGAACGGCCGAAGCTCGTGCTGCGATGATTCCGGGTGTAGCTCCTCCTGGAGAGCGGGACAATTGAGTTGACTGGGTTGACTGAATCTACTGCGTTGACTCGGTTGACTACGTTGACTGGGGGGAAGGGCGGCTGGAGTGGAGGAGCAGGAGACAAGGGAGAAACGTGTGTGACCAGGATACGGGACTGGCGACTGTGGGCTAGAGTGGGAGGCTGACGGCTGCTGACGTGGCGGAAACAGCGACGGGGACGGAGGGGCGAGAAACGGAGGAGAAAAGCGGGGAGGGGATGGAGGCGGAATGGCAGGGGTGGGAGAAGTGGGAGAGGCGGGACGAAGCGAGGAGCCAGGGGGAAGGGAGGCTGGTGAGGCCTCCTCATCGAATATGTTGGGGGAGAGCATCGGCGGAGAGGAGGACGGCGGGTCGGATGATTCGCCTTGTCGGCGTGAGCTTGGATTCGCCGCCGTCACGTGTCCTGTCAACGCTCTCACCGCGCGTCCCTCATCCGATGATGCGCGTTCCTCCCATGATGCTGCGCACTCTGCAGCCGCGTCTTCTCCACTGAACTGTGATTGAGTGCTCCTGCTGCTGCTGCTGCTGCTGCTGCTGCTGCTGCTGCTGCAGTCAATGGACTCTGCATACCCACGACGAAACTGCTGCTGCCGCTTCTGCCAGCGAAGGCTGATCGTACTAGCAGTTTTAGTGGTACCAGTTCCAATCATACGCGCCGTGTGCTTCGCGCTGCGGTCGTGCTCGCCGTCGCTGCAGTACCCGCTTCCGTCGGCAGTTCTGTCGCAGGAGGCGCTCAAGGCGCCGCCAAACGCGTTGGCGCCGCGAGGTTCGAAGTGCTCGCTGAATGCGCTGCTGCTTCCGCTGTCGGTCATCGTTAACTCGTCCGCGAAACCTAAAATTCGCGAATTGTCCATTCTAAGTAAGCAACGCAAATTCGGATTCAAAGGCGCGATTTCTTTATTCAATCAGTAGGCGACAAGACAAACGACGAGATGCTTGAAAGCTGAGTTATTCTCCCCTTCACGCTGACCTGACTGAAGCTTGTTTCGTTTTATGGAGGAAAACCAAGAACACTCGAGTGATATGGAAGTCCGAATTTCTGCGCTGCTGATGGTGACGTGGGTTTCCGGAAATCTCGAGGTACAATGGTCACACGCGGTGGATAAGGAAGGAATCGCGTAAGCGCCACTTCACCGCCACCATACAGTGACGCGGAAAAGCAGGCAGTAACGGCGGTGTTTCGCCCACATGCATCTTTCACCCCCACACCACACCCGACCTGGGGTGGTGGTGATGCACTGACGCGGAAGGCAGAATGTCGTGTAGTGTAGGTCGCGCAAGCGTCGCCGCCGCCAAGTGTCACTCACCCAAAGCTACTTCGCCGCCGCGTCGTCCAGTCGACAAGTTCTTCGCCGTCATCGCGTTTTTCGCTTGAGACTTCGCCCACCAGTTGTTACATGCTCCGTATCAGTCTGCTATATGTTAGTTGAGAGCATTGGGCTTGTGCGAGAGGACCCGTTATCCTATAGTAATGACGCATTATGCATCCAACCTTGTGGTATCCCTTCACTAAGGATCCACACCACATCCATAACACAATCACAGTTCTCTCAATTCAATATCAAATGAACAAGCCTTTTTTACCAGGCTCGAAGTCTAAAGACACATGTCATCCAAACCATAGCTGCTGAACACGTGAAATTTCATGCCACTATGTACAGCAGGTGCAAAACAAATTACAGCAGCATGCTCCCAAGCATGACTACCAGTCCATATTTCTACAGACTGCATGACAGCAGCAACCCATACACCAGCACGATATGCTCCAGAAATGGCTGCAGCAAACGTGCAGGTGAGCACTGAGAAAAAACTGCCAGTCTTCAACGCTTGCACTCCATCACATGCTTCCCAGAACACGTGCATCATTCCCCACCACATGCTTCACTGATGGAGAATTCCCATGCTCGCTGCTGGTGTCGCTGCTGATGTCACTCATTGCAAATCCACCTGAATCGCTGCTGTCGCCACTACCAGGAACACGCGAGTGAGAAAACACGCCATGACTACCATGGCTGTACGGGGATGAAGCCTTCGATGAGTGGAAACCTTGGCTGCGCCAATTGGAGCGAGACGAAGCGTCGATGCTCAAGCTGTCGTTTACGACACATGCTTCCTTAGCGGCTGCTTCTAACACGCCACTCTTTAATGAGGATGTTCTGCGTGCACAACGAATGGACCGATCGCCTTTCCCGGACTGTTGATTCGACTGAAACAGCAGGAGGCGGCCACTGTTGCGGACGGAATGAAGGCTTACAGGCGAAACGGCTGTCTGCACTTCCGATAAAGTCACATGGCCCTTGCTTCGCGTCGGCTGTAGCGCGGTCGCAGGACGAATGCACGGCAATGACCAAAACGGCTGTAGCCCGCGGTGCGGTTCGGACGAAGATTCTGAGAACCTTGGCCTGCAGCTTTGACGGATGGTAGCAGCGGAGTCGCTACTCATACGCCGGAGAGACGGCGAATTCTGATTGACGCGTTGCGCGTTGCCGTCTCTACCATGCGCATCTGTGTCGGAGACAGAAACTCGGCGGTTCCAAAGCTGCTGCTGCTGCTCCTGCTGCTGCTGGTAATAGTTGTCCCAGTCGTTATCCAGCTGCTGTGGATGGGAAAAGGTGTGGTGATGGCGGTGGTGGCGATGGTCAGAGTGATGGAGGTTTGGATGGTGATGGTAGTCGTGGTTCTGGCAGGTTTGTCGACAGCAGTGACGCGCCGGCGAATTTGGCACTGGCGAAGATGCGGTAACCCTCCATGCTTCGCTAACGTCCAGTGAACGCTCCGTGTGTCGGTCGCACGATTTAGTCCTTTCAACCGAGCGAGGTTGTTCCGATACAATGTTTGAGCGGATAGGCTCCAAAGCAGATGTACTGAAGGAAGCAAGGCGAGCGCCTTGATGTTGTGACTCTAATAATGAACGTTCTTGAGATTTCTCAAGGTAACTAATTTGGTCCCAGAACTGAGTGTCATCATGGTTTCGACTGCCACGGTTCGCGACCTGATGATCTTTGTACACGAGCTGCAGATCCATTAGAGATAGACGATGCGCGACAGTGTTAAGATTGATCACAGGAACAACACTAGTTTACACGAACGCATCTCTTGACAGGAGAAGGCCAAGCCTATGTCGTCGAGTGCAAAAGAACGAACGCAATGAACGATCAGGGACAGCACAACGAGCTTATCAAAGAGCCAAAGAAAAGCCAGGACCTTGCGTTCTTCGTCGTGTGTAGTTGTGCAGTTGATCAGGACGAAAAATGGGCCAAGGGCAGAGCGCGTGGGCGACAAGTGGAATGGAAAAGAAAGGGTGGGGGGAGTGGAGGGGGGGTTGAAAGGGGAGTGAAGTGAAAGGGGAATGAACACAGTCGTGAGATTCATCCAGCCAAGAGATGGAGGCTTGGGGGGCGTGAGGGGAGGGGAGAGGAAGGGAGGGAAGGGCGGGAGATGAGATCCAACAGCGAGGGACATGATGGGAGCAGATGGTTTGCTGGCGGAACGTCGAGTGAAATTGAGGGCTGCCCACGGGCAGAACGCACATGATGTGCTGTGATGTGATGCGATGTCTTGTATATTTTGACCAACAGACTCCCCCCCACAGATCCATGCATTGTTCGAACGCGTCCCGAGACTTTTTTCATGACACATCGTGAGCGTTGCTTCGAATGGCGGCTGATCCTGTGAGTCGTCGATGCAATACGCAGCGAAACAGCGCGTTTCTCCGCCATGACGGAAACGTGTAGACTTTCGTGACACTCCCCGTCAAGGAGGCCACGACACGAGGACGACTCACCGCCACTAGCGGACACTCAAACGGGACCAATCCAGTCAGAATCATTCAGGATAAACATGCACGTTCACTTCTCCAATCAGGTGCGTCGGTGCTGGTCAGACATGGGCTGGTCTTGAGTCAGCTTCGGATTTCGAAGGCAAGTTCGCTGCGCCCCCCTACCCAGCTTCCTTCGGCAATGTGGCTGAAAAAATCTTCCCGTAGGGTGGCGAGATTCCACGTCATACTTGACTGGACCACGTGTCTGGAACAGCAAGAATCAATTCAGATTACAGTACAACGCAATTCCGGTACAGCGACAATCCAAGTAACCATATCCCTACGTCCATTGTACTCATCATTGCAAATTAGTCACCAGTACCACTAAGGTACTTCAGAACCTAACACCCTAGTATTGATCTAAAACTGCTAAGAAAAAAAACCTAATGCAAGATGCTTTCCCATCGATATCAACTACATGCTCCCGCCGGCAACATTAAAAGCTAGAATGAAGTTAGCGCTTCCGACGGTTGTCTTCAACGGGAGTAGGGTTGCCCTTCTTCATCATGGCACAGAACTCGTTATAGTCAATGCGGCCATCCTGCCACAGCAGCAACGACCCAACATAAGAGCATCAACAATGAAGCCCACTTGGCATATGAAACATCATCCTATGCCACCAGACCCCCCCATGACGCACACACACACCCCTCCTCAAAGCACACTCACATTATCCGAGTCCACCTCCTGCAGGATGGCGTCAATCTCGCCTGCCAGCAACACTCTATGTGCAAGGCGTCTACAGCATTATACCCCATGCACTCAAAGCACACTCACATTATCCAACCCCTCACAGCGCACTCACATTATCCAACCCCTCACAGCACTCACATTATCCGAGTCCACCTCCTGCAGGATCGCATCAATCTCGCCTGGCAGCAGCGCCTCCTCCTTGGACAGCGCCTCCCGCAGCTCGTCCACCGTGATGTACCTGGTGAGGGGGAAGGGGGAGGAGGGGGGAGGGTGAGAATGTCGGTTGGACAAGGTGTGGTTATGGAGTGGGAGACTGCTTGAAGCAGCAGCGCCTCCTCCTTGGACAGCGCCTCCCGCAGCTCGTCCACCGTGATGTAACTGGTGAGGGGGGAAGGGCAGGAGATGGAGGCGGGGGGGGGAGGAGGGGTGGTGTTTGGTTTGGGCAAGGGGAGTGCAGCACACTGCTTGAAGCAGCCCACCCACTGCCACACACACATTCACACCTTTAAACAATGACATGCCAACCCCACCCACCCATCAGCCCCATGCACGCACCCGCTGCCGTCGGCGTCAAAGTGTTGGAAGGCCTGGAAGAGGTTCTCCTCCTTCCCACTGCCACTCACGCAACACTGCCGCATGCCATCACAGTCAGGGTCTCGCAGTCACATGCAATCAGCTTCAATCAACTCACCCGCTGCCATCAGCGTCAAAGTGTTGGAAGGCCTGGAAGAGGTTCTCCTCCTTCTCCACCTTGTTCATGTGGATGGTGGCCGTTATGAACTCCTGGTAGTCTATCGTCCCGCTGTTGTCCACGTCAGCCTGCCACGTGGCACCACATGGGACGGACGGGTGGGAGGGCGGAAAAGGTGGGAGAAGGGGGAAGGGATTTGGTGGTGGTGGTGGTGGTGGAGATCGAGAGATCGATAGTTCAGGTTGGCACAGGATGAATGTGATGGAACTATCAGACTACTCACCTTCTAATCAAGGATAGCTCATCTTCTTCTTCAGCCTTTCCTTCCGCTCCTTCCAAGTCAACCCAAAACACACTCACCGCATTTGCCAGCCATCCCCTTCATAGGGCAACTCGCTGCTGGATTACTCACCGCCTCCATGAGCTGTCGCACTTGCTCCTCGGGCATGTTAGACCCCCATCTTCTCCCCTCCAGTCCCTTGAGAGTCAACCCAACACACACTCGCCGCCCCATAAGATGCCTCACCGCCCCACTATAAGTACCACGCTGCACCGCACTGCTGCACCACTCACCGCTTCCATGAGCTGCCGCACTTGCTCCTCGGGCATGTTAGACCCCATCTTCTTCAGCCCCTCCTTGAGACGAACCAACACACACTGACCGCCCCCATAACCTGCCCCAACGCCCTTCACCACCCATCCCCTTTAAAAAGTACTTCGTTGCTGCACCACTCACCGCTTCCATGAGCTGCCGCACTTGCTCCTCGGGCATGTTGGACCCCATCTTCTTGAGCCCCTCCTTGAATCGACCCAACACACACTCACCGCCCCCATAAGATACCTCATCGGCCCTCACCGCCCCCATAAGATACCTCATCGGCCCTCACCGCCCCCGTAAGTACCACACTGCACCATACTGCACCACGCTACACCGCACTGCACCACTCACCGCCTCCATGAGCTGCCGCACTTGCTCCTCGGGCATGTTACTCCCCATCTTCTTCAGCCCCTCCTTGAGCTCCTCAAACGTGATCGACCCGCTGCCGTCCTCATCGATGCTCTTGAACATCTCCTTCAACCCCATGATCTCCTCCTCCGACATGTGGCTTGCGATGACCTGAGGTGAAAGGAGCACAGGGACGGAGTGGGACAAGAAACAGGGGGCACGAGGGGTTAAGGCACGAATCGACCCGCTGCCGTCCTCATCAATGCTCTTGAACATCTCCTTGAGCCCCATGATCTCCTCTTCCGACATGCATGTGGCTCTCTATGACCTGAGGGAAAAAAGGGAATCGGAGGGACAGAGTTGAGGCAAGGGTGACCAGAGCTGCATTCCTCGTCGATGCTCTTGAACATCTCCTTCAACCCCATGATCTCCTCCTCCGACATGTGGCTTGCGATCCCCTGTGTAAGGAACAGGGATAGGTGGGGAGGAGGGGTAAGGCACGGATCAACTCGCTGCCCCATGAACTCGAACCTCTCCTTGAGCCCCATGATCTCCTCTCCTCTGACATGTGACTCGCGAGCAGTAATGCACATAGGCCATGGGAGCAGGGAGGACGCAAGGGATTGAATAAGGCAAGAAATGACCACACTGCTGCCGTCCTCGTCGATGCTCTTGAACATCTCCTTCAACCCCATGATCTCCTCCTCCGACATGTGGCTTGCGATCACCTGTGTAACAGGGGTAGGTGGGGAGGAGGGGTAAGGCACGGATCGACCCGCTGCCGTCCTCGTCGATGCTCTTCAACACCTCCTTCAACCCCATGATCTCCTCCTCTGACATGTGACTCACGCAAGACGCTTAATCTTGTTCATGGCGGAGAACTGCTTCAGCTTCGCCACCAATGTGCACCTCTACCAGCTCCCGCCTCTCTGAACACCTCTTTACTCCTCACCTTGAGAGCGAGGCGCTTCATCTTGTTCATGGCGGAGAACTGCTTCAGCTTCGTGAGCACCGCCGAGTCCAGAGGCACGTCCGACGCCTCTCCGTCCACCTTCACCCACGGGTGCTCTGCACGGAGTGGGGGAGAGGACGGGGCGGGACGAGAATAGATAGGAGTGAGGGGAGAGGAATGGCGAGCTTGAGAGCACCGCCGAGTCAAGAGGCACGTCTGACGCCCACAGGTGCTCAACAGGGAGGGTGGGAGGGGAAGATCGCGGGGTGAGGGAAAGGAGGGGATGGGGGCGGGGGGGGTTTGAGAAGAGGTGCTCTGCAGGGAGAATTAGCAGGATGAACGGGTGAAGATGGGGAAAAACGGCAAAAAAAGGGGATGAACGGCCATGATCCTTCGGGCGACTCACAAGCGGGCCAACATAAGGTCTTTGACGTCCTGCAAGAACCTAGCGTACCCCCTATCATCCCCATTGTGACCTAAGCGCCTCAGCGCAACTCATGGAGCACTTCACGCGCCATCATGCGGTCTTTGACGTTCTGCTTGAGAATGCGCCAGATGAGGTCCTTTGCGGACGACGGGTAACTCGCTCAATACCCCATGTTTGTAGGGGGAACTCGCACACTATCCCCGTGTTCCTATGGGCAACTCACACAGCTCTTTGCGCGCGGACATGCGGTCCTTGATGTCCTGCCTGCTTGAGCATGCGCATGATGAGGTCCTTTGCGGACGACGAGATGAGCGGCTAGGGCAGCCCAGCTCTCTCTCTCTCTGCGGGTAACTCGCGCAATACCCCTATATTCATATGGGTAACTCACACACTACCCTATGTAAAAAAATGCGACTCACGCAGTACTTCGCGCGCCGACATGCGGTCTTTGATGTCCTGCTTGAGCATGCGCTTGATGAGGTCCTTGGCGGACGACGAGATGAGCGGCCAGGGGTCGGAGGAGAAGTCGATGTGGCCCTTCAGCACCGCGTCAAAAATGCCCTGCTCCGACTCTGGTGGGGTTGTTGAGAGAGAGGGGGAAAGGGCGGACAGAGCGCACGTGAGGTGTCGGACGAGAAGTCAATGTGCCCCTTCAGCACCGCGTCGAATATGCCCTGCTCCGACTCTGGTGGGGTTGTTGGAGGCGGGGGAAAGGGGGGAAAAGCGCATGTGGGGTGACGGATAAGAGAGGGGAAGACAGCGGTGGGAGGAGAAGTCGACGTGGCCCTTGAGTACCGCGTCGAATATGCCCTGCTCCGACTCTTGTGGGGTATGCTCGAGGGGATACGGTAGATTGGATGGGGGTAACGTCGATGTGAGCACCGCGTCGAAGATGCGCTGCTCGACTCTCGTGGGTGGGATGAGGGCTCGGGGGGGCAGAGCGAAGAGGGGTGAAAATGGGGAATGATATTCGACACGAGGCAGGAAACTAGGGTTGGGGTCAACCCTCAGAAGGACGGACGGCAAACTCACCGGCCCAGAAGGGCGGCACGCCGCAGAGCAGGATGTAGAGGATGACGCCGCAACTCCACACGTCCGCCTCCGGCCCGTACTTTCGTCGAAGAACCTCGGGTGCCACGTAGTACGCGCTGCCCACGATGTCGGAAAACGTTTCGCCTGCCCGAGCGGATCAGGGATGAGTGGCGAAGAGTGGAAGGGAAAGGGATGGGAACAGAAAATAAAAGGTCAGGCGACGCACGAAGCAGGGACTGGTGGCAGTCATTGTCGCATTCCCTATTTCTTCGGGTAGGTGAGACATGACATAAATAGTCCTACATGAGTTTAGGGTTCGCCCTACCCATGGAACAATTCCAGAACCCAATGAGCCAAAATAAAAAAGAGTACACACAAATGTTTATCATTCAACCTAGCAGCGGCCAGCTCACCTGGCTTGTAGAAGATGGAGAGGCCGAAGTCAGTGGCCTTGAGCGGCGCGTTGACTTTTGCATGACTCAAAAGTAAACTCGGAACACCATTTCTACCATCCAATCTAGCAGCGACCAGCTCACCTGGCTTGTAGAAGATGGAGAGGCCGAAGTCAGTGGCCTTGAGCGGCGCGTCCTCCTTCTTGCTGGCGAGGAGGAAGTTCTCGGGCTTGAGGTCGCGATGCATGACGCCATTGGCGTGGCAGTACTCCACGACCGACACCACCGTGCGGATCAGCGTCGCCGCGGCGCGCTCGCTGTAATGCCCGCGCGCGATGATCCGATCGAAGAGCTCTCCACCCGCGCAGAGCTCCATGACGATGTGGACCGAATGCTTGTCCTCGTACGCGCCCTTCATTTTAACGACGTTCGGGTGGTCGACGAGGTGGTGCATGATCGCGACCTCGCGCTTGACGTCCTCCACGTCCTCCGCGGTGACGAGCTTGCGCTTCGCGATGGACTTGCACGCGTACTGCTCGCCCGTGCTCTTGTCCGTGCAGAGATAGGTTACGCCGAACTGGCCTCGACCCAACTCGCGCCCGATTGTGAAGTGGTTCTTCACGTCCTCCGCCGGCCGCCCGAGCACGTTCGCCGTCAAGTTGCCCGCTTTTTTGGATCCTCCGGACGCGGATTTGCCGGCTGTTGGAGGTGCGGAGTCGCCTGCGGTAGCAGAGGCGGCGCCAGCATCGGTTGCTGCAGCGGAGGCGGATGACGGAGCCGCGGCCTCCGCTTTAGGCGCAGCGGAGGGACCATCGTCTGTTGCGGGCTTCGAAGCGCAACAGCCCATTTTATTTTTTTATGTAGGAAAGAGTATCTGTGTATCAATCAGCCGATGATGTAGTAGGCAACTGTTACGAGCTTGCTAGAAACTACAGGCGACTGTTGCAAGTCTGGAAATCACGATGTCTGGTGAAAATTACGATTTCTGTCACCTAGGGCTCCTGGTTTCTGAACTTCTCAGCCTAGTGAGCTCGCAAACTTGACCGGAAACCGTAGTACAGAGACGCACCGAGCGGAAATAGTACGAACGAACGGACAGTCCTACACGAGGCCTAGTGCAGAGAAACGGAAAAGCACACACCACGGCGCCTTGAGCTAGTCGAAACTATTTGGTGAAAACCACCTCCTAGGGAATTGTCTTGTCAGGTGGGAGGAGGGAAAGGCACGCAGGACCCGATAAGACGGAACTCCCCCACGGCGGAGTGCGCAAACAAGCTACTCTCCCACCTTAGATTCCTTTCATGAGAGCCTAAGCATTTCAGAGCAGTGTGAAAAAACATTCGATTCCCCCTCTCTCAATGTGGGGTTTTGTTTGGGAAATGTTTGTGATTCCTGTGAAGAAGTTCTTGGAAAAGTACCAGTGGAAAAACTGTTAGTTCTCAAGTGTTCTACCTTTTTCGTCAACGCTCCCCGAGTGAATTGTGTGTGCGGAGGGGCCATCCTCGCAACCGCATGCAAACAGCAGCAAGCGCAGATGGTTGGGTTGGGTCTGCCGCACGCATATGCTCGGAGGGTGCCCCTTGGGAATTCCCCGCAGCTTGGGAGAAGGCAAGACCGATGGCGGCGCGCTTCTCTCTCTGAAAGAACGCGACGTGTTGGCGAAAATATCAACGGTAAGCCGACGCGCTCTGGTGGATTAATAAGGGCTGAGTGTATTTTACAGAGTGGAAAAATAAACAAAACCGAATCGAGGCTTTGAAGCAGTGTAACAATATGCTTAAACTCTATCAATTGCTTATTGATCCCACAACAATACCACTTGCCATACCACTAGCTAAACTTGTGCTGTGTAATTTCCGAGGGATTTTATAACTACTGACTCAACTAAAGGTTGAGAACTAGGTCCAATCCATCATCTTGCGCCCCCGTTTCCCTATCACCATTAATTCCTGGCGTTGCTTCCAATGACGGTTGCTCTAACACATGTTCTCCCTCCTCATTCCTTGGTACTGGTGGCTCACCTTGACGGGATCCGCTTTGGGCTTGGGTGAATCTATTAGCTGTTGCACTTGTAACATTTCCAGCCGCATCGTAACCAGCAGATGCATTTGTATCATTACGGCTCCCCATGTGCGCATGTAGCAGCCAATCCTGCACAGTGTTAGGGTTGAAACCAAGACCACCAACGTACTGCAGCTGCTGCTGCTGCAGCTGCTGCATTTGCAACTGCTGCATCTGCTGTTGTCGTAGCATCTGCTGCTGCAGCAGCTGCTGTTGCTGGTACTGTGACTGCTGGGCAAGCAGCAGAGACTGGGAGACAGGAGTCACGTTCTGGTATGGAGAGGGGATGGGTGCTTGCTGTGTGAGATACATCTGAAGGGCTTGATTGTAGGCCGAGAGGAATTGAGGTGTGGAGGATGGGAATGGGGGTGTGGAGGAGGGGAATGGGGGTGTGTAGGAAGGAAATGGGGGTGTGGAGGAGGGAAATGGGGGTGTGGAGGAGGGAAATGGGGGTGTGGCGGAGGGGAATGGGGGTGTGGAGGAGGGAAATGGGGGTGTGGCGGAGGGGAATGCGCCAAAAGGATTAGGAAAGGTGGAGTGGGGGAGAGGTTGCTGGGAAGGCCAAGAGAGTGGGTTAAGAGCAGCGAGTGGGTTGGGGTGCATGGGAGGCTGTATGGGGGGTTGGGGATGCATGGGCGACTGTGTCGGGGGGTGGGGATGCATGGGAGGCTGCGGTAGGGAGGGAGCTGGTACAAGGTTGAAGGACGGAAGGAACGGCTGGGTTGGAACTGCTGGATATGCTGGTGCTGGCACTGCTGGCGCTGCTGCTACTGGTGCTGCTGCTGGTGGTGGTGCTGCTGCTGGTGGTGGTGCTGGTGGTGGTGCTGCTGGTGGTGGTGCTGCTGGTGCTGCTGCTGCTGGTGCTGCTGGTGGTGCTACTGCTGGTGCTGCTGCTTCTGGTGCTACTGCTGGTGGTGCTGGTACTGATGCTGGTGCCAGTGCTGCCACTGTTGCTGCTCCTGCTGCTGCTACTGCTGCTGCTGCTGCGGCTGGTAGTGCTGCTGCTGCTGGCAGTGCTGGGGATGCGGCCGCTGATAGTGCCAGGGACGTAAGAACCCTCTCAGCAGTAGACCGAACCCATGCATCTGAAGCACCTGAAACACCTGAAGCTCCTGCAACAACTGATGTGCCTAAAGCAGCACCTGTGGCAGTAGCAGCAGCACCACCAGCACCTGAAGCACCGGCAGCAGAAGCTGCTGCTGCTGCAGCCACCTCGCGCCTGACCACGGAGAGCACATGTGACACAAACGAAGGGTCCTGTAGAAGCGCCTCTTGCATCAACGACCGCTCCTGTGCTTCCTGCTGTTGTTGCTGCTGTGAATTCTGATGCTGCTGTTGCTGCTGTTGCGGTTGCTGGTGTTGTTCTTGCTGTTCTTGCTGCTGTTGCCTCCGCTGTGGTTCTTGCTGTTGCTGTTGTTGCTGCCTCTGTTGTTGCTGCTGCTGCCTCTGTTGTTGCTGCTGTTGCTGCTGCCGTTGTTCCTGTTGTTGCTGTTGCTGCTGTTGTTCCTGGTATTGCTGTTGCTTCTGCCATTGTTGATGCTGCTGTTGCCCCTGCTGTTCCTGTGAATGCTCCCCTAGTTGTTCCTGTTCCTGTTCCTGTCGTTGCTGTTGTTGCCGCCCTAGTTGTTTCTGCCGTTGCTGCTGTCGTTCCTGTTGCTCCTGTTGCTCCTGTTGCTGCTGTTGTTCCTGCCGTTGCTGCTGTTGCTCCTGCTGGTGCTGTTCCTGCTGTGCAGCAGGAGGGGAGGCCGCAGAGGCAGGAAGGAAGGAGAAGAGAGGCAGCTCTGACCATAGAAGACCCTTCTGGGCCTCACCTCCCACTCCCTCCCCCTCACTCCGCCGCCCCACTACCCCACTACCATTCCCCCGCCCCACTCCCCGTCCCTCACTCCCGTGCCCCACTCCTCTCCCCTCACTCCCTCGCTCCACTCTCCCCCCTCCACCCCCTCTAACCCCCCGCCCCACCATATCGCTATCCTCATTGTCCTCCTCTTCCTTCACCTCCCCTCCTCCTACCATCTCTCTACATCCATCCATCCCTGTCAACCCTTGTGTTGCTCCGCCATCCCCCATTGCCCAATACCCGCCCATTACTCCGCCCTCCCCCATGGCTTGGCCCCTATGCATGGGTCCCCCCTCCCCCAAGCCTCCGCCCTCCCCCAAGCCTCCGCCCTCCCCCAAGCCTCCGCCCTCCCCCAAGCCTCCGCCCTCCCCCAAGCCTCCGCCCTCCCCCAAGCCTCCGCCCTCCCCCGTGCCGCCGCCCTCCCCCATGCCTCCGACTTCCCCCATGCCGCCACCCTCCCCGCTTCCGTCCTTCCCCTTGGCTCCGCCCTTCGTTTTGGCTGTCCCTATCTCTTCCTCCCTCTCACTCTCTTCCATGTACGGGCTCTCCCTCCTCCCACCACTCTCTCCCCTCCCACCGCTCTCTTTCCTCCTATCGCTCTCCCTCCTCCCATCACTCTCCCTCCTCCCATCGCTCTCCCTCCTCCCGCCCCGCTCACCACTCCCACACCTCCCACCACTCTCGCACCTTCCACTACTCTCACTCCTCCCACCACCCTCACTCCTCCCACCACCTTCACTCCTCCCACCACCCTCACTCCTCCCACCACCTTCACTCCTCCCACCACCCTCACTCCTCCCACCACCCTCACTCCTCCCACCACCCTCACTCCTATCAAGGCTTCTATCTCTTTCCACACCATCCTCACACATCTCACTCCTCCCACCACCCACCCTTCCCTCCTCTTCTTCCTCTCCCCTTTCCTTCTCTCTGCCACCATTCATCCTGTCCCCTCGCCCATTCCCACCCTCCTCTACCACTCCCTTTCCCACACCCACTTCCTTTCCCTCCCTCCTCTCCCTCCTCGCCTCTTCCCCTCGTTCCCCCCCTCCTCTCCAGCCTTCCCTTCTTCCCCTTTCCTTTCTCGTGCCCGTCCTTGGCCGCTTCACACTCTCACCATCAGCAATCTGGCCACCAACACCATCAGCAGCACCAGTCGAATCAGTAGCAGCTGCAGTGGACACACCAGCAGCCGCAGCACTAGCAGCAGCGGCATCACCACCACCAGCAGCAGCGGTTGCACCATCAGTGGTAGCACCACCACCACCGGCAGCAGCAGCACCATCATCACCAGCAGCAGCGCCACCGTCACTGTGAGACGCCGGATCACTAGCAGCAGCAGATTCACTAGCAGGAGCAGATATGACAGCAGAAGCAGAGACAGTAATAGTGGCAGAGCCGGGAACGGCAACCGGAGGGAAGGGGATGTTGCGTGCGGGAGGATGGCAGTGCTTTCCCGAGTAGACTATCCTCAGCCCCCCGGAAATGGCTGCTCGCACGAGAGGAATGTCGATTGTCTTTTTTGCGGTGCAGCCGATGGTGTATTTGGCACAGCGGAAATACGCCCTGGTGGAGAGAAGGAGGAGGAGGAGGAGGGAGGAAAAGAAAGGATTCGTAAGGTAATTTAAGAATGCACGAGGGGAATGTCGATGGTCGTTTATGCCGTGCAGTGTAGCCGATGGTGTATTTGGCACACCGGAAATACGCCCTGATGGAGAGAGGGAGGAGGTGGGTGAGAGGAGAAAGGAGAGAAGGAGGAGGGAGGAAAAGAGAGGGGTTTTGGCGCTCCAGAAATGGCTGCTCGCACGAGGGGAGTGTCGATGGTCTTCTTTGCGGTGCAGCCGATGGTGTATTTGGCACAGCGGAAATACGCCCTGGTGGAGAGAGGGAAAGAGGGGGGAGGAGAAGGGGGAGGGAGGAGAGGGGGAGGCGACGGAGGGTTCTTTAGATGCTTCAGAAATTGCTGCTCGCACGAGGGGATGGTCGATGGTCTTCTTTGCGGTGCAACCAATGGTGTATCTGGCGCACCCAAAAAAGCCCTGATAGATAGAGAGGTGCAGCATTCAGGGGAAAGAGAAAAGGGGAAGGGTGTAGGGGTGGAGAAAAAAAAAAAAAAAAAAAAAAAAAAAACACACACACACACACACGTGCAACGGACACTCTTGCTGCACATCCAAACCAAGTGGCCTCGCCTGGCGTATTCGCGCTCCATGGGGCACTTCTGCCCGTACTTGTGCCAGTGGTACGGTGGTACCCTACTACCCGTCGTCCGGTGCGCTCACTTGCAAGCAGCCTCACCTGCAATTGGTCTCACATGGAATTAAGTCTCACCAACTGCTGCCTTACCCAGTTGCACCCTTACCTGGCGTATTCGCGCTCCATGAGGCACTTCTGTCCGTACTTGTGCCAGTGGTACCCGTCGTCCGGTGCGCTCAGCCGCGGTGCCGACGCTGCCACTGGGGGCAGGCTGCCCGCACTGCCCGCAGCAGCAGGAGGAAGAGGAGGAGCAGCAGCAGGAGCAGCTGCAGGTGCAGAAGTAGCAGCAGCGGCAGCAGCAGCAGCGGCAGGCGCTGCACCGGCAGCTGAACCGCCGGCGCTGCTAGTGGTGTTGATGGTCGTGGCTGTGGTGCTGGCGGTAGCAGCGGTGGCAGACGCAGGGGGTGAAGAACCGGGAACAGAGGGGTCGGATGGCCGTTGCTGCCCCTCGTGCCATGACGAGTGCCTGAAGGGAGGTTGGGAGACAGAGGGGAGAGTGGGGGAAAGAACTCGGAACAGAACGGTTGGATGGCCTTTGCTGCCGATCGTGCCATGACGAGTGCCTGAAGGGAGGTTGGGGAAAGATAGGGTGGGGGGAAGAACCCGGAACAGAACGGCTGGATGGCCTTCGCTGCCCCATGTGACTTACTGAGGGGCTGAAGGGCGCGAGGGAGAGAGACGAGGAGCAGGAAGAGGTGTGGGGGGGAGAGGAAGGCGGAGAGGGAAGGAGTGGGGAGGAGGAGGTGCAGGAAGGGTAAGGATCAAGATACGAGCATCAGCAGGCCATTCCCTCCCTCCCCTCCCTTTCCCTCCCTCCCCTCCCTTTCCCTCTCTCCCCCCTCTCCCTTCCATCCCCTCCCTCCCCTCCCTCCCCTCCCTCCCATCCCTCCCTCGCTCCCTCCCTCCTCCCCCTTCCTCCTTTCGTCCCTTCCTCCCTTCCTTTCTAAAACCCTACCTGGCAACAGCTGCATCGATGCCCATCCCTGCTGCCATCGCCGCCATTGGAGGAGCACCTCCCATCGCCCATGCTTGCGGCGCAGCACCACTCCAGAAGCTATTAGTAACACCTCCAGGGTTACCACCATCACCAGGGTAACCACCCCCACCAGGGTAACCACCCCCACCAGGAGGCCATGACTGAAGGCCCCATGCAGAGATGCTGCTGCCTTGAATTCCCGAACCTCCCCCCCCGGCATGTGATGCTCCTGCTGCTGCGCCTGCTCCTGATGCAAAGGGAGTGGGTCGTTCGTTCGCTGCTGTTGCTGCTGCTGCCGGCGCTGCTGCGTTAGTAGCATCTTCCCTACTGTTACTAGTATGTGAGGAAAACGGTAGTGGCATGCCGACCGTGTTACCGGGACGGATACTGGGGACAGAGAACGGAGAGGAGCCACGTGGCATCATGCCAACGGACTGTGGTGACTGTAACGATGCCATCAGTGTCGGCGTTAACCAGCCTTGATCTTGCCGTTGCTGATGTACTACTAGATAGTGCTTATCTCACTGACTTTTGAGTCGACTAACCGCCCTGCGTTGGCCACATGGCAGATGCGGCTCATCACAGTTACTGCTTATGTCAGACAAAATTCTGCTTCAAACAATGTTAGTCAGCTGGGATCGGCAGGGTGTAGTAGCAGCGGCAAGAACGGACAACGAGCTGCCACTCGGAGGGACAGCTCAGAGCAGGAACTTTATACGAGCCGCTCGGTCGTTCTGTCAGGTTAGTTTGCAAGTTCGCTCAGCAACGAGTCTCTTTGCCGTCCAAAAAGGAAAACTGTGTCTCTCTTTGGGCGCTTACCGCCCAATTTCATGGAAAGAGTGCGGCGACGGTGGCGAGATTCCTCCACCCCTCCTAATTGTGGTCGTTGCCGTAGTATTTGCTTTCGCATCCACTGGATAGCCGCCCTTCGAAAAAAAAAAAATATTTCACAAGCGGAAATCTGGAGGGAACGACGGATCTGGGTAAAGAAAAGGTTGCGAAGTGGTGAACCCTAGATCCAGAAACAGGATCCCCAAACAAACCAGCATCATGACAGGGAGCTTGCTGCTGATAAAACAGTGCAGGCACTGCAAACCAGCAGCAGAGCAAACCCTGAGGGTAAGGACCACTCTACTGCTATCCCTCGCAAAAGGGTTACAAGCACTACAAACCACCTAGTACAACTCATTAGCCACCTTCAGCTCCAATCTGCCCTCTCCCCTCTTGACCATGATGCGACCACACAGCTCCTCAAAGCCCGCACTCAACTAACAAAATACGAGGCATCCAAAACCGCCGAGCTCGCTCTAAAAGCAAAGCTCAAAGTCGAGGGCCATAGGGAGATGGGAACCTCCTCCTTGCTGGCATGACTCAACTCCCGCATCAAAGACTCATTAATCTCCTCGCTTATACTACCAGATGGACAAACCATCTCAGATCTACGAGCCATGACCGCTGAATGCACCAAATTCTTCCAGTCTCTCTACAGCGGGGCAACCTCGGACGTGCCAAATCCTGCCTTCTGGGCTCATATCCCCCCCTCTTCACTCCCCCCCAGACTCCTCAACCATCTGCAAGCTCCCTTTTCCCTAATGGAAATTAGCAAGGCCTTAAACCAGCTCTCCCGTGGCAAAACCCCCGGCCCTGACGGCATCCCGGGCGAGCTCTTCCGACAATACAAGACCCGCTTCGCCCCCGCATTTCTCTCACTCTTCTCCTCACCGCACATCTCCGCTACCCTCCCGCCGTCAATGCTGTCAGGCCGCACAGTCCTTATTCCCAAGAGGGGTAGCTCCTCTATGATCGACAACCTCCGCCCTATCACCCTCATGAACTCGGACTACAAGGTGCTAGCCTTATGCCTTGCCAATCGGCTGCAACTCGCTCTTCCCCTGATTATCCACCCCTCCCAAACCGCTTTCATTAAAAGCAGGAAAATTGGCGATACGATCAACGATACACTCGACATTTTCGACTGGAGCACAATCACGAAAACCCCACTTCTCGCCTTAACGGTTGACTTCCGCAAGGCCTATGACCTGGTCGATCGAGCTTTCCTCTTCCAAGCGCTTGCCAGGGTGGGACTCCCCGAGCAGTTCATCGCCTGGGTTCGCCTCATGCACACTAGCACCTCCACCTGCATCTCTGTTAACAACCTCGCTGGACCCACCTTCCCAGTCCGAACCGGGGTCCGACAAGGATGCCCCCTCGCCCCCCTCCTCTTTGTGTGTGTCATTGAAATCCTACAGCGCTACCTATCGCTCTTCCTCCCGGGTTTCCCCCTCTCTACGACGCAGCACCGTCTCATGGCCTGCTACGCTGACGACGTCACCATCTTCCTCTCCTCTGCTAGAGAGCTTGGGACCACACTCATACACCTCCGGACCTTTGCCGCAGTCTCAGGAGAACACCCCAACTGGAACAAATGCTCAATAATTCCTTTTCACATCTCCCCGGAACAAATCCTTCTGGCTAGCCCCATTCCCATTCGCACTCCTCAAGAGGCAGAACGCATTCTTGGCATCTACGTTGAACGTGCACAACCAGGCGCCACTACCTGGTCCACGACTCTCTCTCGCGTTCAACGCACGGCTAAGTTCCTCGCCGCCCTTCGTGCCACAGCCACCTGCCGCAAGTCACTTGCGTCAGTCTTCTTAAACTGTATCATCTCCTTCCCCGGCCGCTTTCAAACCCCCTCCCCCGACGTTATCAAACGCTTAGACGTCTTAGACCTCTTCTGATGGTGAGGTAGCCAGAGCCGCCGTCTGCCTCCCATTTGGCACACACTGTCTCTTCGCGCACCCTGCCATCCTTCAAGCAGGCATTCTGCCAACGATAATCCCAGGTCGAGCACTCGCTGAACTACACGCATTAATAGAGATCACTCCGAACATTGCTCCACCTCGCCTTGTCCCTATGTGTATAATGGGCGAGCCTACCGCCTTCAATCGTTTCATTCTCAAACCAAACGGGAAGCCCTTCGGAATTCTCACGCGTGAACACTTCCTCCTATCTAAGCAGGTCCGTGTCGGCCATTTGATCTCTCTTATCTTCCACTCGTTTGGTGTGGTCTCCTTCAAACACTTCACCTCACTGTTTCCCATAGCCAACTCCTCCTCTGGACGAAGAGTCTGGCGCGAACTCATCCGTGCCATCCCCAAACCTTGGTGGTCAGCCTTTCGCTCCCCCCCTCCCCCCTCGGCAGTCCCTGGGGAGTGGTTCGTCCCTAAAGATGACTCCGAGACCTCTCCCACTATTGCTTTCCAGGTCACGGCCTTCTCCCCTCCGTCGTCACTCTCAGTCTCCCTTTACCATGTCCTGCCCAACCGATTCATCGTCCGACCGTCGATCGGAGATGGCACCTTCCACATAGGTGCCCTCTCTGCGGTACACGTTGTTGGGTCCTGGCTTGCAGGCCCCTTCCATACAGGTGCAGGGCTCGGCGCGCGGCTCGACATCCTTCGGGACGGCTGCCCAAGCGTAGCTGACATTCGTCGCCGGCTCTACGCTCAACTTCCCCTCGACCACGCCGCCCGCTGGATCCACGTCCTCCCCGCTCCTCCTCCCCTCCTCCCCGACCTCTCCCATGCCTTTTTACGGGAGCAACCCAGCCTCCAACGCGACGTCTTGTACCGGTTCTACACTCGCGCTCTTCCTTCGGGTTCACGCTTCAACTTCGCCGCAGACCGTGGGATTTGTTCACTCTGCCTTGCCGCTCCCACAGAGACCATATCCCACATTTTCTACGAGTGCGGGGTGGCCCCCGCAGTGATCTCCGCCCTCTCCTCCGTCGCTCGTCGCCACCTCCACTGCTCTCCTCCTCCTGAGCTCCTGCTCTTCCCGCTCGCCTCCAGAGCCGGCCAGGTGGCCCCCTGGAGCCTTCTGGTTGGGGCATCTACAAAAGCTATTTGGAACGCACGCTGTGAACACAAGTTCCAAGATTCGCCCTCCTCCCGGTTTGAAATCCTCCAGCTCATACTGGCAAAGTTCCTCATTGCTTTTAAAATTTTCTTATGGCGCAGGAAGAAACAATCAGTGAAAAAACAACAACGCTCAGCCGCTCGTATTAAGCTGGCCACTCGACTTCGCTTCCTCGTCTTCGACCACAACGGAACCCCTTCTATCCACCCAGACCTCCGCTCTTCCTGGCTGCTTGGGGACCCCTTCCGCCCCCCCTAGCCCTCCCACCCTTTGTTGAGCATAGAAGAGCTCCCCAGCTGAGCTGGTGGCTATCCATTGGATAGGGGAATAACGTGTTTTCCTACGTACGCCTCTGGGCTGTTGGTTTGTGTAGACCATATTTCTAGCTACTCTATGCTTTGCTGTACATGGTTACGACCTTATATAACCTTAACCTTAACCTTAACTCTACTGCTATCCCTACACTAGCTGAGCACAGCAGGAAAATGTGGCAAGGATGAGTCAGAAGGGGATCTAAAGTGGTTGCATTCTGTCATTGCAAGTCTGCAACCCATGCAAGCAAACCCTCGACTGCAGCTATTTCGCGTAGAAATCTGGTTTCTTGGTTCGTTAGCCAATCGTGTTGCATCATTTGATTCACAAACAAGGGTTTTTTTTAATGTCGGTGATTTTAGGGCCGTGCGACAAAATGATGTTGGCGCACTCGGTCCACACAATGGAGCGTACTAAGTTCAAAGCCGTTCTGTTTCGTCCCATGTTGCATCTGAAACTTTTTGGTTTGGTCTGGTCTGGAGTTGAATGGACGGGGAAGCCTGGAGGGAGCGAATGTGTGGTTCACGGTAACTGAATCACGTGCAATCACATTCTTGAAAGACGCATGTCAGGACTAACGAACATGAACAGCGCACGAGGCCTCAAGTGGCCCATTTTCCTACACCAGAGGGGTTCGGAACACAACGCAGAACCACGAGTACGACCTCGTACATGACCCGAAACCCAGGCAATCAGAACGCGCCCTGAAGTGTTGCATTTCACGCCCATAAAGGACAAGCTCCACCGCACTTTTTTACAGACCGCGTATACGAGTGCGCTACGAGCTGAAGCCGACTCGAAGGAACCATATGTATCAATTGTGCGGTGGTACCCCATACAAGCTATTTCTCACAGATCAAAACGTTCAGCCTCATACTCCATACAATAGACACCGGATGCTGAAGCTGTTGCAATTCTCATGTTAG